CAAAGCAATGTTCTGTTTTGATATGCATGAATATTAACGCATTATAGAACTTCAATATTCCATGGGACATGTTGATGAGGACTACTAGATTCATTTATCAAACTGCTGGTGTCCAATAATACTCACAAGGACAGCTGCATTCCCCCCCACTGAGGCTGGGCTATGTCCTGCATTTACCCACTACGTGTGTTGGGAGGGGCAGCTCCTATAGGCCGCAATCTGACACTGGAATTGCAATTATTAAGAATTATCTTAATGGATTGCCTGGGCTCAAATCTAGTTTCACCCCACACAAGTGCTGTGACTTTGGGTGAGTTGATTGCTCTCTCTGTCCCTGTAAAATCAGAATAAACAGTGGCATCAAACTCATGGAAAGTCCTGAGAAAAAAATAAGTTTGCTGCTGATGCTGTTTAATAGTATTGCTATGGAAGGGAATTCTGGGTTAAAGATCAGAGAAGCCTTCCTTCTTACTGTCAGGCCCCAAATGAATAACTTAGTTTTAAAAGGGAGTCAAGTAAATGTTTTAAAACTCTAAGGAACCAGAATTTATTATAAAGATTCCCTAGCCAACTTTTATTGTCTGTTCAGTTAAAGAAATGAACAATTGCATTGCTTTCTCCACTATCCCCTTTTCAGGTTCATCCTTTAGTGCTTCAAAAGCTCCTCCCTCCTCTGGCCATACCCTCCTCCCAAACTCCCCACCACCACCACCACCACTACCTGGGAGGACTGGCCAATGCCTCTGCTGGGGTGAGGGACATGCTGGCTCTCAGCTTCCCTCGGTGGTCCCTGGAGAAGGGCCTCCTTGCAAGCCCCCTGCCGCCTCTCCCAGGGGTTCTGTTCCCTCCTGCAGGCCCTTGTTGGCCAGGAGGACCAGTACCTGCTATAGAGGAGAGTACCTACACCCATTCCCCTTGGAGACACCTGTTTCCTTGGACTTGAGTTGTTGCCCTGCAATGTCAGTTCTCTGCTGGACTCAGGAAAGCTGTGGTCATGTGGGTTTCTGGTTGCTATTTGCTGTGAGGGTGGTGGTAATGCACCATCTGACTTCTGACCTACAGAGCTGTGAGCTAACAAACAGGTGGTAGGTTAAACCACTAAGTTTGTGGCAACTGGTTACATACAATAGAAAACATTACAGTAACCAATGTGAACTCATAATATTTTTATTACACAAGAAGAAATACCCAAATACACTGTCCTTACAAAAATTAAGGCACTATGACTGATTCCCTCCCCAGAGGTCACCACTGTTATTAATTTAGACTGACTCTTTCCAGATCTTTTTTATTTTTTTTAGACTTAATTTATTTTTTATTTTTATAATTTTTTTTTAGATTTATTTATGTATTTATACAAGAACTGGGGTACAGTCAGAAGCGCAGGAGGGTGAGAGAATTCACCAGAGCCAGAGCGGAGAGCAGAACAGGCAGACTGACAAAATATACTGCTGAGGGGAGCAGCAGGTGGCAGGAGAGGTCTGCGCACCATGTGGGACCCTCGCCCACTGGGGATCAAACCGGTAGCGCTGCAGAGGCTGCGGGCAGCTTCTCAACACAGCGCTCAACCGCTGAGCCACCGGGGAGGCCCTCCAGATCTTTTTTAAAGGGAGGCTAAAACATGCTTGATCTCCTCATTTTGCCATTTGACAGCTGTGTAACTCTGGGCAATTTGTTTGCCTGGAGCTGTTGATGGATTGGGTGAGTTTACACATGCACAGGGCTCAACTGGGCCAGCATACAGCAGTTGCTGGGAAAATGCTCTTTATGACTGTCCAGCATTTGCATGCATGTATGGACCCAAGTGTAACACGTGGTGAGTTGCTGTCCTTTTTTGAATGGTGTTAGACTGAAGGTAAGTTTAACTGGTCTTTCTAGGAATCTGTTCTCTGTGGGAGCGCCTGACTTTTATTGCGCTCAAATAAACTGTTTTTCCTCTTTGGTAGACTTGAAAGCAGCTGGCAGGTGACTCAGGAGCTTCCCACACTTTGAGTTCCAGGGGTAAAGCGAGTTCCCACGTGTCAGCCAGTGCCATTCATGGGACTCAGACCCCTGGGCACAGACCTGTAGAGGCTGAGGGGTGGTTAGGCTTGCGCCCCAAAACAGAACGAACAGTCTCCTGGAATGTGTCTGTCATTTGTGCAAGTAATAGTATTCTAGCAGGGGAGTTACAAAATGCATCATGGGGATTGGGACCAAATTCTCATTCCCAATGAAAGAGCCCAGTGGTAGCTAGGTGAGAAGGCACTGCCTCCGTGTCCAGCCATTTTGTCTCTGGTGTTTTCCATTGACCTGGACGCACTGAGAGCATGGCTTTGTCAATGAATCAGGAAGAGCTGTCTTCATGCTTGGGCTCTGATCCTTAGCTGTGGGTTGCAGGGCTAGAATTATTGCCATATGTCCCCTTAGGGGGCTGATGTGTGGCCTTTACAAAGGAAGGAACCATTTTCAGAGGAGGGACCAGCACATATAGGACATGTGAATTGCTGAATGTGCCAGTACTGCCCCTGCCCCTGGAGGTGGCTTTACTGAGAGGTGAGGCAAAGTGTTAACACAGCGACTCTGGGTGGTGCCAAATCCCAATGCCCTTCCTGTAAACTCTGGCTTGGGCATTTGCTGAGACTTGGCAGGCTGGAGTGAAGTAGCCATGTTGCTTTCTATCTGTAAATCATAAATCTGATAAAGGATTGATGTCTTCACCTAAACCCTCAATTACATAGGCTGCAGTGGGGACAAGAGCTGCCACCAAAACTCCTTCTTCTGCTTCTGCCTGTGTATGGGATTCCTGGGAGGGCAAGCCCAGGATCCAAGGAGAAGGGCAGAAATAGGAGTGGGCAGATATGGGCATCATGATTCAGCTAAGAGAACCCAAACTAAGGGAGGGGGATTCTCTCCTTTTGGCATTGACGACTGACTGTCACACCACACTATCCTGTTATTCTACCATCTGGCTTGGCATCTTGGGTTTCAGCCTCCATACCTTAATATGAAGGGTAGGCCAAGAGGATTTTTATTGAATTACATTTTGATATAATTTAGATCCCATGCATTTCTAAGAAACTGTAAAAGAGGTCCCATGTACCCTTACTGGTTCCCTTCAAAACTTGTAAAACTAATGCAACTCCATACCAGGATCTGCTGTGACCTGGCTCAGAGCAGAGCAAGTCAACACCACAAGCACCCCTTCCGCTTCCCCACCTCCTAATCCCTGCAACCCTAGGTTTGTTCTCCATTTCTATTATTTTATCATTTCAAGAACATCTTATAAATGGAATCATGCAGTATGTAACCTTCTGGCTAGCTTTTCCCCCTCCATTGTAGATTCACCCAGGCTGCTGCTGCATCAACAGCTGGCTGTTTTTTATTGCTAAGTAGTGTCCAGCATTTGGATAGACCGCAAGTGTTCCACCACTGCCCTGCTGAAGAACATCTGGATTGATTCCAGTTTGGGGAGATGACGAATAAAGCTGCTATGAGCATGTATATACAGGTTTGGGTGAACTTGTTTCTATATCTCTGGGATAAATGGCCCAGAGTGTAATCCTAGGTCATACTGGATTGTCTATTGTGTTTTCTAAGAAACTGCCAGCATGTTTTCAAGAGGGTCGTATCAATTTATTTTTCCACATTTTATATTTTGACCCGTGACCCAGAGGACACACAGACCCACTGAATGTGTCTGAGAGTGAGGGTGCTTCAGATGCTACCAGAAGCCAGACAGCCCCAATCCCAGGGAGATGAGGCGACTACATACTACCCCTGCTGGCTCTGGGACTTGCCTGGCTCCACCAAGACAGGCCTGCCCCACTTCTTATCCAAGGGCAGTGGGCAGCCTGAAGTCCCCTGAGTCATTTCAGAGCTAAACGTATTGCTTTGAAGGGAAAATGTTTTGGAAGAAGACTATCCAGGTTACTTACAAACATGGCTCATGGGCAGAATTCTTCAGATTATTCAAGGAAAGGCCTTTCGGTGACAAGCTGCTGTAAAACAAAGGGCCCTTCACTTTCTTTTCCTAAAATTCCCTACCCTGTCTTCTCTTCTGCATGCACCTACCCATACATGGCACCGAAGCTTTGGAAATACAGGACCAGTAAAGCAGTGAATTAGCTATGAGAAGTGCCCTCCCAGGAATGCCAGCCTTTGGCCCAGAGCTCTCAGGGGCCCTGCTATACAGCAGGTCTGGCCCCCTGGACTGGAGTCAATGCCAGGGCCCCTGGAGGAGGAGCACATATGGGCTGTGAAGGTGTTTGGAAGCTGGTTCTGGAGAAAATGTTGGAACCTGTGCCTCTCAGAGGGCTCTGACCCAGTGCCCCAGGCAGAAACACCTCTTCAGGGCCTCACCAATATGGGGTGGGGGGGGAGGGTAGGTGGGCTGAGCCTGGCTGCAGACCTGGACAGAGTTACAGTCCAGAGCTTTATGCCCAGCAGGATCCCTGCTCTGTCCCTTCTGACAGCCCAGTGTCCATGGGCTCAGATTCCGTGCCTGGGAAGAACCTACCATCTCTAGGCCCTTAGGTCCAGAAGCTCTGAGCAATGTCCTCCAGTACGGGGAGTTAGGAGCCCCCAGATCTGGGCCTGAATGGCTCTGCCCTGAACTCCCGCTCCACAGCAGGAAGTGTGGCCAGGTGCACAGGCAGAGTACACCAGGACAAGGGTAGTGCCAGCCCTAATTACCACCCAGAACTCGACTCCTTCTCCCTCCCCTAGTCGGTCAAGTGGGTCACTGAGAGCCTGCTCCACTCCCTTCACTCTCCTCAGCAGTGGCTTTACCCATGACTGGGGCCTCCCCCGCGTCCGGATTGGATGCCAGGAACGGGGTGGGGGCGGGCCGGGGGACCCCAGAAACCCAGGTTCCCAGCTCTGGTGGAGAGCAGTGTTCAGTGCAGAAGCTGCTGGCTTGTGCCAGAAGGACCTTCGCACAGTCCTGGCGGGCCGGTGGGCAGCGTGGAGGAGGTAGCTGCGGAGTTGAGCACCCGCAGGCAGGCGCTTGGCAGGCAAGGATGTTTGACAGCTCGCAGTATCCCTATAATTGCTTCAATTATGATGCAGACGACTACCCTGCAGGCAGCTCAGACGAAGAGAAGAGGCTCACAAGACCCGCATACAGGTGAGCAGGAGGTGGGCAGGGGGCTGGGGCTGGAGCAGAGACTTCCTCCGCTGGGTCTCAAAGAGCTGGATGTGCCTGGGGAGGCGGGTGGGGAAGGGACCTTCTTTCAGGCAGGGTTCAGAGAAGACATGGGTTGTTACACATGTTTCAGGGCAGTTGGAGAAGCTTCTCCCAAGCTCTCTTCTGGACCTCCAAATTCCAGGGAGAGTTTTGAGGTCTGAGGAGAATGGGGGGGTGCGATGGGGGGATTTGGGGGGGTGAGGGGTGCAGAGAGCTGCCCTGCTGCTCCCCACCTCCATCACCCAAGACCTCCTGCGGGGAAGGACTGTCGAGGTTTGCTTCCGGCGTGGGGTAGGGCTACTACTCCAGAAGCCCCGCGGGCCCCTCCTCCACAAGGGCTGGCCTGACTTGCAGCTATATCGCCCTGATCGCCATGGCCATCCAGCAGAGCCCAGCGGGCAGGGTAACCCTGTCGGGCATCTACGAGTTCATCATGCGCAAATTCCCCTATTACCGTGCCAACCAGCGCGCCTGGCAGAACTCCATCCGTCACAACCTATCCCTCAACAGTTGCTTCATCAAGGTGAGCCCCCCTGCCATGCCCCGGGATGGCTTGCAGATTCTGGGCCAAGTCTCCCTGACGGGTGGTGGTGGGATTTGGAGTTCGTAGCTGCTGGAAAGTCCTGGGCACTGCGGGCGGCATCCGCCCGCTCAGTCAGCAGCACTGTCCCAAAGAAGGGCGAGCCCCAAGGGACGGGCCCCAAGTGTGCCCCGATGCCGCGAGGGGCGCAGCTGGGACCCCTTCACTGACACCCTGTCGCGGCGCAGGTGCCGCGCACGGAGGGCCAGGAGAAGGGCAAAGGCAACTATTGGACGTTCGCCGGCGGCTGCGAGTCGCTGTTGGACCTTTTCGAAAATGGCAACTACCGCCGGCGGCGGCGACGCCGCGGTCCCAAGCGCGAGGGGCCACCGCGCGCATCGGTAGGAGCCGCCGAAGGGCCCCCGGGTCCTCCCGAGCCCGTCAGCTCGCGGGACTCCCCTGCTGCCCGCGAGCCCCCGACCTCCACGAGACCCGCTGACCCCGCAAAGGAGGAGCACAAGGACATCAAGTTCAGCATTGACTACATCCTCTCTGCCCCTGACCCTTTTCCTGGCCTCAAGGGGCCCCACGGCACTCAGGGGGGCTCATATCCCCAGCTGGAGGCCCAGCACATGAACCTCCACTTTTGGACTTTGTGAGGAGGGAGCTGAGGCTGTTCCCCACCCCATGCTGGGGGATGGGCCGCCATGCTGCCAACCTAGGGTCTTCCAGTAATTTCAGCCCCCTCTGGATTCAGCCAAGAAGCAAGGCTTTGCCACACCATGCAAATGTCTTCCACAGACCCACACTGTGCTGAACTCCTCCTGGGTTGGAGGGAAAGGAGAATTCATTCGATCTTGTGACAGGTACTCATTGTAGAATTGTGGTTTTATCTTTTCATAAAAAAGTTCCCTAAGCAGGAAAATCCAGAGGCTCCTGTTTTACTTAAGGGTCTGTGGTAGATTCACCTAGTAATCCTGCTCTGAGGAATAAGAACAGGGGTCTCGGGGTCACTTTCACTCACAGACAAGGTAACATTCCACTCCTTAGTCTCTGGAAATTTGCTTCGTAGATAGCTAGCTACACGCCCAGAAGCCACCAGCACACTCAGAGATAGTGGTGAGGTTGGTGGTCTCTTCCCTATAGCTAAAAAGTGCAGGTGCTGAAGCCAGATAGTAATCAATCCCATGACTGTTGGGATGAAAAACCCCAAGATTTTTGACTATTTTCCTGTTATGGATGATGTGATTGAAAGTGACAATTCTGTTGTGGGCAGAATATTTTATAATGGTTTAAGAAATTCCATGCACTTTTTTAATAGAGGAAAGAAAGGTGCAGGAGGGAGGGGTCCAAATTTGGGGCAAAGTGGTTTTGCCCCAAAAGTGGTTCCCGGTTCTTCTGAGCAGAAGAAGACACAGCCCCTTGCGCTGTGTCCTACTCAGCTGGTTTTCCAAGAAAGCAGAGAGCGCTTGTGAACGGCTGATCAATCCCTGCAGCCTGGAAGGTGTACAGTTAGGAAGCACAAAATTACAAGCATTGGAGGTGGGTACACTCCATTTGAAATGTAAATGATTTAATTACTGTGTAGAGACAGGCGTTTTAAAAAACACAATTATGCACAGTGAAACTATTTGACCAACCTTATCATTTTTCACCAGCCCATTTTTGCAGAGTTAATTGCTTTCCATGACTTAATTTGAACATTAGTATGGATTACACCTAATCGGATTTGCTAGGTGACAATGATTTGCTAATTTTGTAAACAGCAAAAACACACCCAACCAGGCTGGCTGTCTTGCCTGGGAATTACATAGACTTGCTTTAATGGGCTCGCTTAGAAGCAGGGATAAAATTAATAAAGCAGTGGGCAGCAGGGACAGACTGACCATGCGGAAGACTCCCTTGGACCTGGTTTCACTTCTGACCAGAAAGCTTAACAGATCCTTCAGTTGCAGTATTCCTTCCTTCACCTGCCCCCTAAATAGAAATCCTGTGTGTTCCGTTAATTGGTTTGAGAGGAGAGAAGACTGTTCCTTACAAATGTTAAAATGCCTGTTCCCAGACTCTGGGAACAAGCACAGGTGGTGATGTGCCCACTCCCTCCTGGCCTGGCCCTGACCTCACAGGAGTAGAGGAGCCCCAAAACCCCTTGTGAAACAGGTCTGAGGCCAGGAACAGGGAGGACACCTCTTTCTGGCAAATACAGCTGTCAGAGTTCACCCCTGGGAAAGCAGCCACAGGTGAGGGTGCTCACTGTCTATGGGGTATGCTGCTAAGACCCCAATAACTGCTATCTCCTTGGCAGGTATGCCAGCCTTGGGCAGTGGGTGCTGTTGTTTGCCCTTAGTTTACAGATGGGACCAAGAATGCAGGGATGTGACTCTGGAGGCAGCTTCTAAACCTCCCTGTGCTGTGGCTTGTCCAGGATCAGAATGGTGTGTGCATGTGTGTGTTGTAGGTATGTGTTGTTATCTGCCCTCCTATTATTTATATTCCTTTGTTGGTATTGTTTTAAATTATACTAGAAATAATTTAGGTGGTGATATGATGCAGGTGTACTCTACATGAGTATGGCATATAGAATATCTGAAAATATATATTTTCTGCTGCCACCTGAGCAAATAAAATTTGCATTTTACTTTTTGGTTCCTGCTCTATACCTCTGTTTCGTTCCGTTGAGCCAAGCCTGGTAGAGAAGAAAAAGTCCCTTTGCCCTAAATGGGTCATTCTTTGGAGGCCCTGGCCTTGGAGAGGGAGATGAGGCCTTGGAAGGAGATGAGTTTTGGTTGGCATGTCCTCCCTGTGCATGCATTCCTGGGCAAACGCCCACGGCTGCTGGAGAGCACGGGTGGCACTGGGCGGGTGAGAGCCGTGTACTATGAGGTGTAACATTTGTTTTGCAAAGGATATCAATCATGTTTTTAAAAGCAAAGGGACATTTTCAATTTGCCAGCATGTGATATCCTGCGACTTCAGAAGGGCTCCCAGCCCTTCGAGTGAGTGGCATTTAATACCAAGTACACAGCAGGGTGAGGGCTGGCTCTGACCTATTCAAATGTCGCCGCCACCATGCAGACTTGCCCTACGCAATTATAATTAAATACTTTATGCCTCTCTTGCAAATCCGTTGATTGATCACCGATATGTACATTACCACCACATTACCCCCGAGCAGATGTCTGCCACACTCGGTTATGGATCACCAGGTTTCCATTAACAAAGTTGGGAGGCGCTGCCATGTAGGGGTTCAGGGGAGATGTGTGCAAATTCTGTCATGCAGGACAAAGTTCCTGGGCTGGGATGCACAGGGCCTGAGTGCCTTCTCCCCAGCTACCCGGAGACTGTGGGGGTGTCCCTCTCACCAGATGGATCCCCAGAAGAGCTGACTGCTGCAGGAGTCACGGTGGCCTTCAGAATCCTGAAGAAGGATGGGGCACCAACTCACTTTCATCCTTCCCATGGTGAAGGGGGGCTGCGGGATGGAGCATGGACGGGTCTGTGAGTGCTAACTGGCTGGCATGGTGCCTCTTGGCCCCCATGTGGGCAGGTGGGGTCAAGCATCACCAGGTCACCTCAGAGCAGCCTCCCTTGACTGATGGTCAAGTGTCCCTCCTTACCAAGCTGAGTTTAAACTCGTGGATGCTGCCATTCCCTGGTCTCTGGTGTTGGGGTGTGGGGGAATTTATGAACCTGAGGCACAGTCTGTGTCTTAACTGTGTGTGCATGGGCAGCAGGGGTGTTTAGATATAGGGATGACTGGGGGAGTGACAGGGACAACAGCTATTTCAGAGACCACCCTCAGTTGAAGCCTGAGGATGGGGGAAGAGGTAACCATGCAAGAGGAAAGAGCATTCTAGATTGTGGAGATGGTAATGGAGCCCCTATGGAGAGAAGGAGGTGGGGGGAGCTTGCACAATATACTGGAAGGCCAGTGTGGCCAGAAGGGAGAAATGAATGAGAAGACCATGATGGAGCTGTGATCTCCCATCCCCAAGTCCAGGACAAACACCCACTTCCTGTTTGGTCTTTGAAATGTATCTCCTGCATTTGCATCAGTTTGTTATGGTTCATTCTGAAATGAAAAAGTCCTGAAGGACTATCATCTCCCATGTTTTGGGTACTTTGCCTTGGTTAATGTGGCCTTTCTTCCTGACCTGCTCTTCCTATGCTCCTAACACTGAATTCAGAGTCCCAAGACCCAGACATAGGTGCTGGTTGGGTGGGTGATGTGGTGAAGATGGTGTGCAGAGGGTGGAAGGGTCTCCAGAACTCCCTTCAACACCAGTCTTCCTTGGAATTGTTCAGGCCTTGGGTCTGCTCATTTAGGTTCAGCTATCCCAGACTGACCTAGAAGTTCGATGGTGGCCCCCAGTGCAACAGTCTTGGTCTCCCTGGGCAGGAGGCTAGCGGCTTTATGTGTCCTCAGATAAACCATCTATCTGCCCACTAGAGCCTTAGATCCCTCACTGTAAGGTGGTCTGTGATAATTCCACTCTGGACTTAGCTGAGAAGCCAGGCTGGCAGGCACTAGACCATGTCATGTTCCCATCTCACAGCCCCCACCTTTGATCCTGGCCCTAGGGCCCCAGGAAGGGAGGCAGAGGAGGGACTGTCTCCCTAGTGAGAAGGCATCCAATGGGAATCTGTGGCTACTCTCTTACAACAGCCTCCAGGCTATCTGCTCCTCCCCTGAGGCCTGTTGTAAGCTCTTGGGCAGTGCCAGCTTTCTGTGACCAGGGCATAGGCCACCTCCAGGCGCCAGAGCCAGAGGGGCAACCCAGGATCCCGTTTTTGTGGCTCCTTCAGTGATTCCTCTCTGTGGTTGGGCTCCCTCTGAAGCTCCTCTGCTTCCAACCTCCCCCAACCAGGGCCAGACCCCAGGCTGTGGGTGTAGACCAAACAAGAGTGAGTTTATCTTGATGCCAAGAACTCTGGAATCTTGTATACATTGTAAATTAGGAACCCAAACAGTCCTTTCTCACCCAAAGTATGAAACTGAAAAAAAGCATTGCAGGGTTGACCTGGGGGCATTGCACGGTTGACCTGGGGGCTAGGGTCCATGTGGGGCTGGGGTATTCATGGGGTTGGGGGCTGCCTGGGACTGGGGAATGCCTGAGCTTAGGGTTCTGCCTTGAGTTGGGGCCTGCCTGGGTACACAGGGACCAAACACATTGGTATCCCAGGATCTTTGCAGCCACTGGGCCCTGCCTGGGCCAGGTCCACACCTCCTGGAATCCTCTGCCCTTAGCCTCTGGGCCCCTTCCATGGCAGAGATCCAACTTGGTGGGTGTTTATTGTTTTCTGTCCTGGCCTTTGACCTAGTTCTGTTGAAATCACTTGCTGACACCTCAAAGCACGTTTCAGAATTTCTTGTCATCTGCAGATCTAAGAAGTCCAATCCAGGTGAACACAGAATTCCAGCCTTGGTCTCGGCAGACTTTGGTGTGCACTTAGAGAGGCCCACTGTGTGCCAGACCCATCTCCCCCTTATGTGCCAGTGGGAATCAAGGCAGTCACCTGCCACATATAAGAGGGCCTCCCTGATCTTAGGCCCCAGCAGATGGAGAAGAGGTTGTGTAGGCACAGGAGGGGCAGCATGGGGGCCCCTCAGCTCCTTAGAGCCACAGCTCTCCTCTTGAGGGCTCTTGATACATGAGCCTCCGATGGGAATTTTGGTCTAAGCTGGTATCTAAAGAGCTTTGTGCTATTTTACAGAACCTTCCCGTCTCTTCCGACTGGTCCTATCTTACACTCCTGGTCCTCTGCTCTGGTAGCTCCAGCAGCCGTGAGCAGAGGCTGGGAAGCAGGAATCCATTTCACAGATGAGGAGACAGGGAGGCCTCATGGGGGCTTGTTCCAGATTCCAGGTGCCCAGGGTGCTTGGTGAAGGCAGAACAATGCCCTCCAGCCT